GTAAAGGCTGCTTATTATTTGGCCTTTGGTTCCAATGCCTGAAAACCCTAAAATAATAAAAATCATCTACCTCCCACTTCCCCAAAAAGAACCCTGAAGCTTCCCAAAGTTGGAAGACTTTGGCAACCACTGAGGACATGACATTATGTGTCAGTTTCTTCTGATACTAGAAAGCATCCACTTGTCATGAGACTATAAGTGGTCTCCAAGAAACCTTCCTTCCCAAGAGCAGCATCTTAACATTTTGTCAGTTCTAGTGCACTTTACAATGACCCAAAAAGTGCTTATCAGTTCAAATGATATAAATTTAAACTTTGTATTAGACTTTAAAATCATAGTGTTTCCCCCTTAAATATGTGCCTTTCCAAAAACTCCTTGTAGGGCCGGGGAGATGGCTCAGTAGGATAAGCGCTTGGCTGGCAAATGCAAGGATCTGAGTTCAATCCCCAGTTCCGCCAAAAAACCCAAAAACTCCTTGTTTCTATGATCACTCATTATGCCCCCAGCTGCTACAGAGAGATTAAGTGACCCCACTTTTTGTGTGGTCATAAACTGTTTGGCATCTATTGGTCACCACAAAACTATTGCTCTATAGTCAGTTTATTGTCATCACCTAGACAACCTGGTAATTGGAAGCCACAACACATTATAAAAAATAAAAATAAAAGATAACTTGAATAAAAAACAGGGGAAAAAACAGTATTTCTCTTTCACCAATAAAACTGGCACAATGAAACATCTTTTTTTTTTTTTTTCCCTCAGAAAGGCAAGTAAATACACAACTTTCTCGCTAACAGTGTTCAGACTTTTACAAAAGCAATTCAAGACAGTCTGAAGAGTTTTGTTATATAACACAGGATATAAATTATGCCCAGTATTATGTTAGTGGTCAGTTAAGTCTTATCCGTAAAAATAACAACATTAGGGAAGTTAGGCAGAGACACAGAACAACAAACATTCACATAAAAAAGTAAACTCCACTTAAGTGAACTGTGGTTTTCCCTTGGTTTGAAAACAAATGTTTTATACACAAAATTCATATTAGTGTTTGCAATGAAATGCTGTGTCACATATAAAATTAAAAGTGCCATTTCAAATGCACAGAAATCATTTCCAGAATGGTGGTGTGACATGACAGTGTGGATAAATTTGCCCAGAATGGGGAGACATCTGAAACTTTCATTTCCATAAGAAAAAAAAGCTACATTTTATGAAAAACACAAAATAAATGTTTCATTTCCAATACAAAACATCCACACTTATTTGTCCCCCATCAACCAGTTCTTTACAGTGTGTCTAACCCAAATCAGCAGAACCAAGCAGTATCCTGCTTCCAGGAGGGCTACAGAACCTTTATGTTTTAGGATTAATTCTATAGTTTATTCTAAGATTTAAAAAGGAAGTTCACATTACACTTGATTGTTATCTGTGTGTGTGTGTGTGTGTGTGTGTGCGCGCGCTCGCGCACATGTGTGCATGCATGTGTGCATGTGTTTTTTAGGGGTGGGGTAGGTACTGAGGATTGAGCTCAGGACCCTGTGCTTGCCAGAGAGGTGCTGATGCCACTGAGCTATTTTCCCAGCCCCCATGATATCGTTAGCATTTACTAACTTTTTCTGTAGAAAATTCCTTATCTCAGAAACCTAAAATGAGTACCAGGGAGATGGCTTAGTAGAATAAGTGTTTCCCTGGCAAGTGCAAGGCCCTGAGTTCAATCCCCGGTTCCACCAAAAAAAAAAAACGAAACCTAAAATAAATGAGGAGTATAATGAACTTCCCAATGCCTATACTCTGGTTTCTCTTCAAATCGTATACATCTTTCACCTTTTACCAAATGCCTATCATCAGTTATATTAATTATGAACAGATAGCTGATTATGTTTTACATATCCTGCATGTATTTTTCCACTAGAAGATTATCTTAAAAGGGTTCTCAAAATATTATTTCATCTATAGATACCTCTTAAAGCTATATACTTTAAGAAAAAAAAGTAATGCCATCTAAAATCAATAATAATGCTTTAATAACACAAAATACTCAGGTCAAATATCCCTAACTTGCTCAAAAATGTCTTTTAAAAGGGGATTTATTAAAATCAAGATCCAAATAATGCTCACACTTTATTGGTTGATCTGTTTCTTGATTCCTTTTTATTTATATTATTTATTTAGGTACGAGGAATTGAACTCAGGACCTTGTGTTTGCCAGGCCACTTGAACCACTGAGCTATATTCCTGGTCCCTGCTTTTTTAAAAATTTTTTTTAGAATTATTTATTTATTTATTTATTTTGTGTGTGTGTGTGTGTGGCCAGCTCAGCCCACCAGGGGGCAGGGCTGGCAGGTATGTGGTGCTGGGGGATTGAACCGCGGTCCTTGTGTTTTGCTTAGCTTAGCTTGTTCTAAGTAGGTGCTTTAGACCACTGAGCCATCTCACCAGCCCCAAAATGGAAACACTTTATTTATTTTTATTTTTTGGCAGAACCAGGGATTGAATTCAGACCCTGGCGCTTGCCAGGCAAGGGCTTACTCCACTGAGCCATCTCCCCAGCCCTGGTCCCTGGTTTTTAATCTACAACTGTTCTTCCTTTCCCTTTACTCCTGTCCCTTATTTGCTAAAGAAACTCATTATCTTAGTTACTTTTGTTGCTGAGACAAAATCACCAACACCTGAAGTTAAAGGAGGAAAGGTTTACTTGGCTCACAGTTTGTAGGGTTTTCATTTCAGAGTTGGCTGGCTCCAAGCAGGGTGGCTTGGCAGAGGGACATCGCAGAGGAGAAATGCTTCATGGCAGGCAGCAAGCAGTAAGCCATAAGGGACAAGCGAGAAACAGCAGCCCTCTGTCTGTCCCTTATGTCTTATCCAGGCTACCCATCCTTGGGGTGAGTAGCCCTCACCTGCATGTTGGGGCAGCTTAACCCTAGCATCATACCTTGAATCAATCTCAGCATCACTCGATCCCAGCAGCACACACCCTAGATCCAGCCACCTCTGAAAACCCCACCTAGAGCCATAAGAGGTTCTGGGAGGACCTCAAGATACAAGCCATAACATCACTAACTTGTCCTGGAGTTTGTCCACATTCTGAATTTGCCTCATTGCATTTCTGTTGGGCCCTTTAATATATTTCTCCATTCTCGCTATTCTCTGCAAATTAGGATGGTAGAAAGCCAGTTTCATTTTTGGCCACACAAAGATGCTTGTGGTAGATGCTATGTACTTTTCATTTCAATCCATAGTAGCCACACATCATCTTTTTAAAAAAAAAATATTAACAATAAAACTCAGTGCTTCACACAAGCTAAGCAATTGTACTACTGAAAACAGTTTTTATAAATTGAATCTGAGTAGATAGTGATAGCTTTTCATTGAGGGATTATATTCAATTACTTTAAGTTGGACTTCTAGATTTTTATTATTGTTTAATATTTCCTTATTTTTTTTAAAGTTTTATTTATTTATGTGTGTGTGTGTGGCCAGCTCAGCCCACCAGGGGGTGGGGCTGGCTGGCATGTGGTGCTGGGGGATTGAACCGTGGTCCCTGTGCTTTGTTAAGCTTGTTCTAAGTAGGTGCTTTAGACCACTGAGCTATCTCACCAGCCCAATATTTCCTTATAATAAGAGAAAGATGAAATTGCACATAGGAAATACTTTTGTTTACATTCTTGAAAAAATCTATAATGCAATTCCCTCTGAGGTGCTTTTTTTTTTTTTTTTTTTTTTTGTATTTTAGGGAAGGATGTACAGGATGTTCAGGGTCTCACTACTAGATCGGACTCATAGCGAGCTGCCTCTGTTTACAGCCTTCCAAGAGCTGGGGTTACTGGGCTGGGGAGACAGCTCAGTAGAATATGCGCTTGCCTGGCAAGCTCAAGGTCCTGAGTTCAATCCTTAGTACTGCAAACAAAACAAAACCTGGGATTACAGGAGTGTACCACCACACCCAGTCTCAACTGCTGCCCCGGGGCAGGGCCCGCACAGCATACCCTGGGGATTGAATCCCTGGTCCCTGTTCCTGCTTGCACGTGCTTTAATCTGCTGAGCTATTTGGCTGGCTCACCTTCTGATTTTTGAATTACATGGTTTTACATATGCCTCTAAGTAGTCTCTGAATTTATTCCTAGTTCGCTATTGAGATATTGTTATTACTGTCATAAAAGGGAAGCAGGTTATTAAAAAGAAGACCTAAAACTCCTCGGCATTTATCAATATATTTTCTATTTTAAATCAAGGATAGGAGAGAGAGCACTTTGGAGAAAGCAGAGCACATTTTAACTGCTCCAATCTAAATGCTTACAGTTAGAATCTCTGTGATCTGTTGCAGGACATTATCTTCTGCGCAGAAAACATCCTAGCTTAAACTCAATGAATTGCATGTTTTTGAGACTTTTTAAAACCGATTCCACCTTGGGCTGGTGAGATGGTTCAGTGGTCTAAAGCAACTACTTAGAACAAGCTTAGCAAAGCACAGGGACCACGGTTCAATCCCCCAGCACCACATGCCAGCCAGCCCTTCCCTCTGGTGGGCTGAGCTGGCCACACACACACACACACACACACACACAAATTAAAAAAAAAAAACCAAAAATGATTCCACTTTAAAATGAAAGTGGAAAATGATATATTTTAACATATACAAATATTGTTACTATTTAATTAGTGACCCTATAGTGTGTGTGTGTGTGTGTGTGTGTGTGTGTGTGTGTGTTAAAAACAGGGTTTCTCTGTGTGGTCCAGGGCAGCCTTAATCTTGTGAACCACTCCCGTGTCCAACTCACCGTCCCCCTGTTTCCAGTCCCTAAGTTCAGGAAAGCATATTTTTAGAGAAGACTAAAACAAATGAAGGAAGAACTGAGAAATTTAAGAGTAAAGATGTCCCAGTCGAGCATATGAAAAGAGAAAAGTATAGTTTGAGCTTGCCCTTAGTGAGGGAATTTATTAATACCAACTGGGTCAGGAGTCCTATTTGTCTTCAATAAGCTCAGTCAATTTTCTTTCAGATTGATGATTACCCAGAGTTTTTGAGTTCACCAGATAGAGAAATCAACCAACACATTCGTATCATCTATTCTTCAACTGGTTTGAAAAAAAAGTATGGAAAATCAAAAGCTGCCAGGAAGTTCCTATTTCCATTTCATCACGCCAAAGCTAACAATAATAACGGTATGTACTCTTTACTAGATATGTAAGTAGCTTTTCTTTTTTAAGTTTTATGAGTATGTGATTGCATTCATCATATCTTAATTCCTTTTATGTACATATCACATTTTAATTATTTTTGTGTTCCTTTCCCCCCTCAAAAGGATATATTTCTTTCTTTCTTTTCTTTTTTTGTGGTACCAGGGATCAAACTTAGGACCTTGTGCTTGCCAGGCACGGACTTATTCCACTGAGCTATCTCCCCAACCCCTATATTATTATTATTTTTTTTTAATTTTTGTGGAGCCCAAGATTGAACTCGGGCCCTTGCACTTGCCAGGGAAGCGCTCATTCTGCTGAGCCATCTCCCTGGCCCTGCCCCTATATTATTTTTAAAATTAGATTTTGTTAGTATGTTTTAGATATACATAATAGTCACATAAGAGGAATTTGTACATGTTCACAATATAACTTGTTTTTCCCCCATTTTCCTATCCTTCCTTGAATCCCTCCTCCCTTCCCCATTTGTAGAAGGTTTTTTCTATGGTTTCCTTTTTTTCCCTATGGTTTCCTTTCTCTCTTTCTGTGTCTCTCTGTCTGTCTCCCTCTCTACTTTCCCTTCTTTCCTCTCCTCTTCTCCTCTCCTTTCCTCCCCTCCCCATTTCCTTCCTATTTTACAATACCTATTATACACTTTTGTCCTTATTCATACTTTTGCTTTCTCATACCAGAGAAACAATGCAGTATTTATACATGTGTCTGATTTATTTCACTCAGGTGCATCCATTTTCCTAGAAATGTCTCAATCTTGACCTTCTTTTTAACCAGAGGAACAGTATTGTATAAAAAGCAAGCACATCTTTGTGAATTCACCAGTTGATGGACACTTGGTTGTTTCCAAGATTTGGCTATTACCAGCTGAGCTGCTGCAAACATTGGTGTGCATATATCACTATGGTTTTAATTTTTCTGGGAAGATACCCTGCAGGTGAATAATTGGGTCAAATGGGACCTCTAGTCCTAGTTTTTGTTGTTGTTTTTGTATTTAGTACAGAGTCTACAGGGTCTCACTACACAGATCGGTCTTGTAGTGATCCTCCTGTTTTCAGCCTCCCAAGTGCTGGGATTACAGGTGCACACTACCATGCCTTGTCTCAGTTACCATCTCAGTGCATCCCAGGAGCGGGGCCAGCATGGCACACCTGGGGGTATTGAACCCTGGTCCCTGCACCTGCCTAAGCAGGCACTTCAGTCCACTGAGCTATCTGGCCAGCCCTACTCCTAGTTTTTTGAGGGCTTTCCACATGGATTTCTACAGTGGTTGCACCAGTCTACACTCTCACTAACAATGAAGAAGTGTTCCTTTTCCCCCACATCCTTTTCAGCTATGATTATTGGCTGATTTCTTGATGGTAACCATTCTTTCCTGGGGTAAGATGGAATCTTAGTGTTGTTTTAATTTGTATTTCTCAAATGACCCAGTGATGTTGAACATTTTTAAATATATTTATTTGCTGTTAGTGTTTCTTCATCTGAAAAGTGTATTCATCTCATACCCATTTTTGGATTGGGTCTTTAAATGTGGGAGGTCCGATAATTTTGAGTTCTTTATGTGTTCTGGATACCAATCCTTTGTCTGAGGAATAGCTTGCAAACTTTTTCCCACAGTGTGGGTTGTCTCTTCATCCTGTTGGTAGTTTATCTTATTGTATAAAAGCTTTTTAGTAAGATGAAATCCAACTTATTTATTCTTTGTGATATTTCCTGCATAGTCAGGGTTTTACTCATAAAGTCTGCCTCTACCAATGTCTTCAAAAGTTTTACCTAGCTTATATTCCAGAAAGTTTACTGTTTCTGTTTTAATATTTAGATCTTTGATCCTTTTGAATTTAGTTTAGTTCATGGTGAAAGGTATGTGTACAATTTTAATTGTATTATATTATTATTATTATTATTATTATTATTATTATTATTTTGGAACTGGGGATTGAACTCAGGCCCTTGTGCTTGCGAGGGAAGCGTTTATTCCACTGAGCCATCTCCCCGGCCCCCTAAATTAATTGTTTTAAATCAGTTTCTTTATGAGGCTAAAAAAAGACTGATGTTCTTTACACAGAGATGAGCTGACCATTCAATTACCAGTAGCACAGTACCTGGGCACAATTCACAAAGAGTAAAGGGTATATAAAAAGGAAGCAAATGAAATAAAAGAAAGGAGAAAAGAAGGGAGGGAAGAAATGATGAGGAAGAAAAGAAGAATGAAGGCAGAAGGGAAGGAGGGAGGGAGGAAAAAGGAGGAAGGACAAATGGAAGGAAGAAAAAAAGAGAGGGAGGAAGGGAGAGCCCTTAATCTGTGGGGCCTGAGCAAGCTAGTGTCAGAATTGAATTGAATTGTGGGACAACTGGTTGGTTTCCAGAGGATGGAAGAACTGGTTTTCTTGTAGAGTAAAACTCGTACAAATTTGGTAACAGAATTGTGAAGGGGGAAAAAAAAGCTTAGATATGTAGAGAAATAGGAATAAAGCCATGTAGATATAGTTATACCTGTATAAATACATGAGTCCTTTAAGGTACCTACTTCTATAATTGGAAATGGGTAAAAAGCAAACAAAGAAGAGTGTCAGCTTTGAACTTGACCTGGTCCACGTTTGAGCCCTAATCCTCATGTTACCTGGCTGTATGATCTTCTGAAAGTCACTTGACCTGTGTGGTCCTCGTCTCTTCATCTCTGTGGCTGTCTTCACAGAGTTGTTGTGGGCAGGGCTGGGTATGCAGCGAGGATGGCTGACTTACTGGAGTCAGCCACTAAGACCGCATTCTTCACAGCGAAGGGAAAGGAGAAAATGACCATCCAGGGTGCTCCGTGGATAAGCCCTTCCACTTCTGGCTCCAACCTGTATAGCTAGACTAGCCCAGACCACCCCATTTGCCTCCACTACATGTCACTGCAAGCCAGACTCGATCTCTTGGACTATTAAATAGCTATGAAATATGAGAAAATCGAATGGTGTTTGCATGCTTTCACTGACAAGTACCTTTCCATGCTGCAGCATGGAAACTGTTAGTAGAAGTTGTCATTAGCAGGCTTATTAATTCCCTGGTTGCTCACCAAGTCTCTTGTCTGACTAATTAGGGCCTCTAACCGGTGTTGGTTGCCTTAAATACATATTTATCCTTGTCCACAAGCATAATTATTCTTGGTTTTTTTTTTCTCAACATATAGAGGAACATAAAAACACACATTAAAAGAACAAAATGATGGAAGTCTTAGGAAATTTAAATCCCCAGAAACTTTACAAATGATGTTAAAGCAGCAGAGTCTGTCTTGTGTACGTGCATGTGGCTGTTGATAGAATTACACTCCTGCCACCTGTTCTTTACTTTCTTCCCCCAAGGTCCCATCTGACACTTCTGTGCAAGAGCTGTTGAAACACCAAGCTGCTGCTGTCACAGAGAGCCGTAGCACATTCTGCGGTGTCCTCTGTATTTCCTGGTCTCCAAGCCGTCGGTTCCCTGGGTTAGGTATTCTATATATAGGGCTCCATGTGTCACCTCTGTGATAAGTGATTCTAAAAGGAGCTGGGCTCCAACCTATCTGCCCATCTACTTACCAGAAGCCATTACTAAAAATCCTTAATGTTAATGATGATGTCATGCCTGGAGAAAACATTGAGTACTGAGCATTTAAGTATAGATGATTATGAGGGCTGAGTCTAGATCTCCTGGGAGAAAGCCTAGGGAATATTTTTATCATGTGGCAAAGCTGTCCATGCATCAGTCAACTTGATCAACTAAACAAAGGAAGACCAAAATTGAAAAAAATGCATAGTAAAAAAACAAATAAGCAAACAAAAAAAACTTAGTTTAAATCATCAGACTTTTACAGGATTCCTCATTAAGCCCTACTTTTCTAGAGATACAGAGAAAAAGACCTGTTTTCTCCTTAGTATACATGCGCCTGTATTTAGGCCATACTTAACACTTTTTACATTTAGATGAAAGAGCATGCTTATGAAATTGTTAGCCAGATTCCTATTCCTATAACAAATCTCAAATAAATCAACTTGAGGGGAAAGGTTCAGTCTGGCCCACATTTTTGGAAGTTTCGATTCATGGTTAGTTGGCCCTACAGCTCTTGGGCTTGTGGCAAGGCAAATGTGATGGAGTAGAGCTGTGACAAAGTGAGCCACATGCTTCATGGAGATTAAGAGGCCAAGAGAAAGGCAGGAAGGGCTGGGGTCCTCATAGCACCCTCAAGGGCACACTCACAATGATCTAACTTCCTCCCAGTTGGCCCCACCTTGTTTATTTGTTTGTGAGACAAGGTCTTACTTTATGATTCAGGTTGACCTTGAACTGACTTTGTAGCCCAAGCTGACCTTCAGTTTACAATTCTCCTGCCTCAGCTTCTCACATGCTGGGATTACAGGTGTGCACCACCACACCCAGATCCACTTCTAAAGGTTCTACCATCTTTCAATAGTGCCACAGGTTGGAGACCAAGCCTTTTACCTATGAGTCTTTGGGAGACATTCCAGATTCAAATCACAGTAAAATCTAAATACACAATGCTGATGGGAGCAGAGGGCTGGTGCTGAAATGTATTAGTAGCTAAAGCTCTTCAGTAGATTGAGTTATTACTTAGGTTCAGGTACACTGTAGAATAACATTGCCAATAGGACCTTCTACAGTGATGGGAATGTTTTATATCTAGTCTATGTTTAGTACTGCTGCTTGTGGCCACTAAGTACTTTAAGTGTCATTGAATTTTAATTTTACTTAATAAACTTGAATAATTTCATGTGGCTAATGGTTGCTAAATATTCATTCAAGTTGTAGAATCACAGAGAAACCTTAAAGGTTTAGTGGTATATTTTGAAATACTGTTGGCATACAGTAAAATAGACTAAAATTCCCAAAGAATAAAACAGCTTAATAAATTCAACCAATGGTATCTATCTATCTATCTATCTATCTATCTATCTATCTATCTATCTATCTATTAATCTAATCTAATCTAATCTAATCTAATCTAATCTATCATTTAGGATGTTTCCCAAAGTCAGTGATGTGGGAATAATCCTAAAACTAAACCAACACAGCACTAATAAATCTCTCAGGGTTAGTGGGTAGTTTTTATATAGGGAAGCATGCAAGTTTCCCCACAAGAGTGACAAATATAATAAACTTTCTGCAACTGAGGAAACACATTATTTTAATATTTTTGTATCTCTTCTAAAAAATATTCTTCAGCTGGCCAGCACTGCTAAACCTTCCATCAAACATGGTTTGTGCTAACTGAGGGCTTCACATCCAAGCCACTGAAGAAGAACACAAACTGCCACCTGCATCTTCCTAATGCAGTGGCAGATGCCTCCGTCTTTCGGCTGTCTGTCACTCTTTCCCTACCAGACTCTGGCAGGAGTGCCTGCAAGACCACACATTTCATTTCACCCAGTATAGAAACAGACATTGAAGTGTATTTGTGGAGAGCATAAATGGTCTTAAAACTCTCTGCGCCATTGTTGCAAATGAAAGCTTAAAGCTAAGAAAAAGAGACGGGGACACGGACACTAAAGTTGCTTTGCCATGAATTTTTAATGACCTCACACATTCAGTTAGGGAACTTGGATGAAATCAGGCTTAAGTGAGAATTAAAAACTAGATATAGATTTTTTGTTTTAAGATAATGCCAGCTTCCTAAGAGATAAGCCTCAGTGGTAATTTCCCCCTTTTTGGCAGGCCAACAGTAATGTGCTCTGTTTTCCCTGTTCTTCTCTACGGTGCCTGTTCCTATATTGCTGAACATCGAGGACCCTATGGTTCACCTAAACCTAGGCTTTTTGTAATATGTAGCCCAGCAATTAAGTAACTTGTAAAGTTTACTCAGTGGTTAATGAAAGGATCTAAACTTGAGCAAATGCTATAATATCAAAGCAAAACTTATTTTTGGGGCTGGAGAGATGGCTCAGTGGTCTAAAGCACCTATTTGGAACAAGCTTGGAAAAGCATAGGGACCGCAGTTCGATCCCCCAGCACCACATGGCAGCCAGCCGCGCCCCCTGGTGGGCTGAGCTGGCCACACACACACACACACACACACACACACACACAATAAATGTTAAAAAAAAATAAAAAAAAAACAACTTATTTTTGTTTCATCATGCTGCCCAGCTTATAGTTTTGTAGCTCTTTCTTTCTTTCTTTCTTTCTTTCTTTCTTTCTTTCTTTCTTTCTTTCTTTTTTTTTTTTTTGTGATAGGTCTCACTATGGAGTTCAAGATAGTTCTGAACTCAAGGCCCAGGCTGGCCTTGAACTCACAGCAATTCTCTTGCCTTGGCCTTGTAAGTGTTGGGATTACAGACATGCATCACCTGCCTGGCCTAGATTATCATTTAGACTTGTATGTTTTTGTAAGGATTTGTGATCAATTACAAATCAGTACATGTGCCTACATCTTCAATAATTTCAAACTATTAATGATCAAATAACTTGTTTTTGTTTGTTTTTAAGTCAAGGAAGAGAATGATGGCCATAGCTTTTGGAGAGGTGAGGATCCCAGAAGCCTGAACAAATCCTCCATCAGGTGAGATGATTATTTGCAGTGTGGTTTTGATTTCTTGACCAAAACTTATTTTATAATACAATTTGTTTTTCATTATGCTTGTAATCTACTAATGACTTTGTTTTTTTTTTTTTTTTTTGCTTTTGGAATGTAATTTATTATGGGGCATTGTAGGTGTTTTGCTATTACAGGGTGGGGTCTAGTCCAAAGAGGAGAGTGTATCTGAAGGGTGAATCTCTCACCCTAGCCTTGCCTTTCATTCCCACTGCTTTGGGTTATGATGAGGTATGCAACTGTCTTAGTTACTTTTTACTCATTGCTGGGACAAATACCAGACACTCAAATGAAGGAAGGAAAGGTTTATTTAGCTCAGTTTGTGGAGGTTTCAGTTCATACTCTGCTGGCTCCAAGGCAAATGATAGCAGTTCATGGTGGCAGAAAACAATGAAGAGCAGAGGAGGAGCAGCAGCTGAGGCATCCATCAAGCCTGTCTTCCTTCTATGCTGACTGTGAAGACAGGCACTCCACAGCAAAGATTGTAGCTCCTCCAAAGTGGAGCAGCTGAACAGATCAAGCTCCTCCGAAGACTGGGACTTCTCCATGGAAGCGGGGCAGGGCCAGGAAGCCTTCTTCAATTTCTTTATATACACTTTTTGTGCTGAGTCACTCTGGTGAAGCCCATGGCCCTAGGTTTGAACCAATTGCACTCCAGTGCTGGCCCAATAGCATCCCAGATTGGGCCTTGCCCACTCGCAGGGCTGGGCCCCTGAGCTAATTCAGGCAACTAACACAATTCACCCCTTGTCAACTTGGCAACTAGACATACTTTTTTAAAGCCAATTTCCAGGTACATAGACATGCTTAAACATTTTACAACTTGAACACTGTACGACATTAGAACCATGACATGTTACCCACGGCCCTTCAAAGACTCATACACATCCATTTATACAAAAGACATTTTAGTCCATCTCTAAGAGTTGCCAAAGTCTTAACAGCAATGCCGAAAAGTCCAACTCCCAAGTCTCCAAGATCTAAGGTGAACTCTTAGCTGTGAGCCCCTCTACAAATGAAAAGTTAAACACTTCCAACATTCAAAGGCACAAGATAAGCATTGCCATTCCAAAAGGTATACACAACTGGATACAAACAGTTGGGACCAAAACAAGCCCAAAGTCAAGAAGGGCAAATGTTAAATCTTGTAGTTCCCTGTGGACCATTCAAAGCAATCTGAAAGGAGTTGTGAGCTCCAAAAGCCCTATATGGCTCCACCCCTATGGCACTCCTGCTGGTAGCTCTTACGGCTTCTCTCTTCGGCCTGCTTTGCTCCCTTTTTGCAGCTTTTCTTAGACCATCCACATTCCTGGCTTTTTCAAACTTCTGAGGTCTCCACTAAATAGGCTTCTCATTCACAGCTTCACACACTGCCCTCTCTGGGGCATATTGCTTGGCTTCCCAGGCCTTCTTGTGAAATCTGGGTGGAAGACTTCTTAACCTCAGAACTGCATTCTGCATGCGCCTACAAAGCCATGTGGATATGCCAAGAGCTGCTGCCATCTGGTGTAGTAGCCAGGCTTTCTTCTTTCTTGACTGAAAGGGTTGAGTGCCTGGCTTGCTGAGCATTCTGACCCTGATTCTGAGAAACAAATCCTATATGTTGGCACCATTCTGTAATCTGGTGTGGCCGCTGCCTCCATTCTGGAACCTGGTGTGGCTTCTGCCTCCATTCTGGAACATGGGGCTCTGCGGCTTCCTCCTCAAAGCAAAGTCCCTCATCCTTGTGATTCTGAGGCTGCAAAGGGTGAGAACCTGCCATCTCCTGTGATGTCCTCAGGACATTTTTTCTACTCTCCTGTTCCTTCTCAGCAATGGAGATCCTCTCAGCTCTATCCTCATAGTCCGCACTTCCTTTCTGGCCAAACTCAATATTTTAAATAATCCTTTTGGGCTCTTTGCTCTTCATTCTTAACATAAATCTGGCTAAAAGCCCCCAGTAACAACCATGCCACTGCCCCAAAATTTGAGCATTTCTTTCTTTTTTTTTTTTTT